TCTCTCACATAATGGATGTTTCTGTCTCTCTCTTTCTCTTCCTTCCTCTCTGAAATCAATAAAAATATATTTTAAAAAATAAATAAAGATTGCTGTTTCGGGCCAAAGGTTGTACAACTTTTTCTCAAGGGTCAGATAGCAAATATTTTATGCTTTGCCAGTTATCTGATCTCTGTCTCCACTATTCAGCTCTGCCATTGTAGCAGGAAAGCAGCCATAGACAACTAAACAAACAAGCGAGGTTGTGTTCCCCTAAAACATTACTTATACAACCTGGCAGCTGGCTGAAGTTTGCTACCCCCTGGTTTAGGGCATCTTGTTATTCCTAAGTTGAAATTCTAAAGATGTTTCAGTTCAGCTCAACCACCCTTTATTTGACACCTACTATGTGCCTGCGTCCATCCAAACACGTACTGTGGAGTATCTTCCATGAGCACATTGTACACAGAACTGATGTTGCTCTGTCCTCCTCCACCCAAAGATGCGCTCTTCCTTTTCAGTTATCCAAACTCAAATACATCCCAAGCCTAACTTAAGTTCTTCCTGGTCCTCGTAGACTTTCCCTAGGACTTCCGTTCACATTGACCCATTCAAATAGAGCTCTTGAAATATGTCATTTTGCACTGGCTTCCTACTGATTCTTAGATGTATTATCTTCCAATTAGATTGTAAACTCCCGAAGAACTATGTCTGTAGTTCCTTGAGCCTCCAGAATATAGCTTCTGTGATGGAAGCCCCATTGATAATCATTAATCACTTGCCAATTGACTAGCCCATGGCAGCTGCCTACTGGGTTTGATGGTACCGAGAAAAACAGTTGTCCACTAAGGGTGAGGTTGGCAATAGGAGAGGTTTTTAAAATGCCAAAAGGAAAAAGGAATGAAACAGAAAATTATACCACCTACTGATTGTGCGACTTTGGATAAATTATTTTCTTCAGTGTCCATATGAGCCTCCACTAGACAAGTGACTCTTAAAGCTGTTGAGAATCTGAGGACCCTTTACTAAGAAAAATACAATGATGTTCACACATAAGAGCCCACATGCACTTTCTGAGAGCCTTCAGGCACTTGGGCGAAATGATCTCTAAGATGCTAATAACCAGGTTGGATGCTACATTGCCGGGGGTCATGCTTCTTCCCTCCCCAATGTACCAGTGAGCGAGTCTTGATTACTTGAATCAGCTGATTGGGATTTGAGTAGCCCCTGCCAACACCCTGCTTGTGCCCCCGAACTCCTCTGCCCAGCCACCTGCAGAGGTGCTCCGCTGGTCCCTGGAGATGCAGGACCTGACCCAACCCTGGCCCACTCTTTGGAAAAGTGCGTCCAGTGCCCATCTGCTGGCGGCTGCCCATCTTTACCTGGATGGCAGCACATTCTTCGTCTTCTTCTCTCCCTCTCGCCTTTTCACTGTTGGGGAAATTGGCAGGCAGAGTTGCTATGGTGATTTGACTGGCAGCTGTGTAGTTGAATAAAATAATTTTCTTTAATTGAAAAAGGAAGCTGTGGCTGGAGGGAGATCTAAGACAATAGTTTTGCCTAGTTGTCCCTTTCTCAACCTCCCCTTTGCACTGCTGCACCTGGAGAGACTCAGAACATTTAATTGTAAAGCCCATGAAAAGCGGAGGCCAGATGGTAAAGGTTCTGAACTGGTATTCAGGCTGCGTGAGCTGTCCTCTCACTCTATATAATGAAATGAAAGGTTAATGATTTTAATCTCTTATTTGCTGAAAACATAGCTTTCTTTCCTGCATTAAATGAACAAATACAAACTAATCGCCCTTTCTGGGGAGGGGGTGTAATTTTTACAGGATGATGGTGGCAGATAGTTGAGTGAACAATGGCATCCGAGAGCAGTTACAGGTCATTTCCTCTGGAAATGCCAGAGGGAAGCTTGGCAGAGACCAACAGGAAAGAAATGTTGCATCTTTTCTGATCTTACTTTTAGGGCATTCCTGTGGCTTTCCTCTGAAGTGGTTTTATTAATTTTAGTTTGTAAATGTGTTTCCTTCCACTCTGAGTTTTCCTCTTGTGTGACAAAGTTAGTTTACATGAGAAGTCCGTCTTTAGGGAGAGGGTATCAAGGAAGAGAAACTGGCCCTGCTGCCTCCAGTGGGCATGCCGCGTGACCTCTGCTGCTCCCCTGCGTGGATTCCTGTGTGAAGGACCCACGTCCCGCGTGGTTCAGGGTTCAGGATCTGGAGAAGGGGCCACACACAAATGAAAGAGACGAGACAAGAAATAATAATTTGGAAATATTGGGGGCCAGGCGGGCAAGCCCAATGCAAGAGAAAGGACTTCCACTGGTGTCCAGACCTTGCCAACCTTTTATTCAATTTTGGATACACATCTAGCTCTTAGGCAGGCAGGTAATTGCGGTAACAGACAGACTATCTTAAAGGTCAGTAAATATTAGAAGGATTTACTCTGAGACTATTTGGTCAGGAAATAGCTTGAGCCCCCATTGTCTGGACTAAACAATCGGTGCATAGCTCTGGCCCTTGCCAAGGGCTCAAGGTTCACCAGCGTTCCGGGATCCTTGTTTACACTTCTCTGCTAGTGAAGATAACGGGTGGCTTCCCACAACAAACCACTCTGCACAGTGAGCCTGAGGAGGCTTCTTTTCCTGGGCCTAAGGACTCCATTTCACCTTGTTGGAGAAATCTATGATCATCCGAGCATCTCTTTCAGCAAAATGAGTCTCTATTTCCATGCCCAATAAGTTCATAAAGGACAAACATCAGTCTATTTTGCTTCCTGCCTTCTTCTAAACACCTGTGAGCAGAGGTGTTTAACAATAGAGCACCGGAGAGGTGACCAGGCAGCAAGCTAAAGGGTGGAGGCTAGCCCCCAACCACTGTCCCCCTAGGTTTTCACCCAATACCAAGGGTCTTCTTAGTCTAACTTTCCCCCATCTACCCAAGTTGGCCTCACCATTCATCCGCTGTGACCTCTGGCAAGTGACGTACCTGTGAATGCCTTAGTTTCCCCTGTAAAATGGGGGAGGGTGTTTAATGTTATTACCTGCTGCATCGGGTAGTTTGGGGGAAATAAATGAATTAAGTTGGAACCCTGCTTCGTCCGGTAGTGTCCCCTTACTCGTGGTTTCCCTCTCTGCGGTTTCAGTTACCGGTGGTCAACCAGGACCCAAGAATATTACACTGAAGATTTCAGAACTAGACATTTCCTACATTTAAAATTGCACATGGTTCTGAGTAGCGTGATGAAGTCTCCCACTGTCCCACTCTGTTCCATTGGGACATTATTCACCCCTTTGTCCAGTGTCTGCACACTCTCTATGCTACCTGCCCGCTAGTCATTTAGGAGCCGTCTTGGTTATCAGATCAAATGTTGAGACGGGTGAGAAGGGCAGTGCTTGTCGTTAAGTCAGCCTTATTTTACTTACGAATGTCTCCAACGAGCAAAAGCAGTGATGCTGGCAATTTGGATATGCCAAAGCAAAGCCATACAGTGTTTCCTTTAAATGAGAAGGTGAGTACAACAAGACATTTGAGAGAGAGGAAACCACATTTACATAAGTTTTATTACATATATATTGTTATAATTGTTCTATTTTATTATTCGTTATTCTTGTTAAAATGTGCCTAATTTATAAATTAAGCTTTATCAGAGGTATGTACGTAGAGGAGAAAACATAGTATATCCAGGGTTCAGTACTATCTATGGTTTCAGGTACCCACTGGGGGAATACTGTACTTCCTAAGAACTTGATAAATGGTGATTATTATTAGCTATTAACACAGAACTTCCACTCCAGCTAGGCCAGATGCTGGTCGACCCCTGTGATACAGTCCTTCCCAAGTGTCATCTTGCAGCTCTTATTACCCAGAATGCTCTGTTCTCCCACCAGCTGGGAAGTCTGTACAGAGCAGCACAGTCCGGTAGAAATGCAATATGAGCGGTATGGAAGTTGAAGTGTTCTAATAGTGGCATTATAAAGGTAATAAGAAATACGTGAAATTAATTTTAATAACATATTTTAACCCAGTACATCCCAAATGTCATTTCAGTATGTAATCAATGAGATATTGTACATTCTTTTCTTCCTTTAAAAATCCAGTGTACGTTTTACCCTCACAATACGTTCTAGCCCCATTTCAAGTGCCGACCAGCCAGATGCTGGTCGACCACAGTGATGTGTGCAAGTCCCTTAGATAATGGCTAACAGGTGCTGAGAGTTAACAATGGGACGCCAGGCACCCTGCTGAGGATGCAGATTTTATTTCGTCTTTACCACAGCCCTCTTAGAGCAGTACTCCTATTGCCCCCATTTTACAGATGAGAAAAGAGAGATTTAAAGACGTGAAAGGGCAGCTGGCAGGGTTTGAGCGGCTCCGTCCAGCTCGGGTTGTACTGTCACCCTCTGTGTGCTGCCTCCCCGGTGGCGGCTCTGAGTGAGGGTCGGCGCTCTCTCTGCACCTGGGAACAGTTCTGCAGTTTGACTCAGAGTAGGAAGACTGGCCACGAACAGAATCTGCCTGGTTTTCCCATGGCGATTCCTACAAATTAGTCACCCCATAAAACGTTTATTTGTTTATTTTGTGAACAGACTGTGAGCCCACGGAATCTGAGCTCCCTGACCTCCGGGAAGGGGGCTGTCAGGGGAAGCTGGTCTATGAAACATCTGCAGGACAGAGCCTGGAAACGATTCCCGCGGGGGATGTTTGCATGGCCAAGGCCTGCGAGGAAAGAAGGCTGCTCCTTACAGGCTGCTCCTTACACGGTGTTTAAACACTAGCCCTGAAAAGAACCTGCCTGCGTTTGTTGGCAGGGACTTAAAAACGACGGCCTAAGATTGAAAATCAAGATGGGTCTCAGATAGGGACCGTCCCCTCTCATTTGCACAAGCGTTGCTTGCAGAGTTCAATGCCAGTGGCCGGTGTGCATGGCGTAGCGCCTTTCCTGGGGCCGGCCCGGGGGGGGCGGGGGGGGGGGCGCTGACCGCGCTTCTTGCTCATCTTGTTCTTTCCTCCATCAAGGCCAGATTTCGACAGCAGTTGGACCTTCATCCAAGAGCGGATCCAGATGGACTCCATGGTTATCAAGGGCCTCGATCCGGACACGCACTACCAGTTTGCAGTGAGAGCCATGAATCCCCACGGCCGCAGCCCGCGCAGCCCGCCCAGCCACACCGTCCGGACCTCCCGTGAGTACCGGGCCCTGGGAAGGACGCGCAGGGCTAAGGTCGCCTCCTGAGGACCTACTAAGTGCCCAGCGGAAGGGCAGCCAGGGCCGGGCCTCCCTCGGCCTTTTCTGCGACCATTTCCCAGCCCCTTGGAAGCCGTTTGAGCAGGCACTCAGGCTGTTGCTATGGACACGGGGTCAGCGGAGGGTTTATTTTTGCACAGTCCTTGGGGAGTGTGAGGTCAGCTTTCTTTCACGACCCCAGGAACAGAGCACATACCACGGCCTCCCCACACTTTTTATCCTTTGAGATAATGGGTTCATTTTAAAATCACAGCGTTTAAATAACGCTCCCAGACTCTTCGGGGCCAGTGTTCGCTTGCAAATCAAGGGCGCCAGGTAAGCCAGTCCCTGGGAGGACGGTCAGGGAGAACCAGAGGAGTCACTGGTGTGCTGACACCTACCGGGCGCTGATGGCAGAAGATCCTGTGGGTCCCAGCGCCTCTCCGGGCTGGGGGGGCGGCTGGGTGATGGGCAGATCTGCTGGGCGGGGCTTGGGTATCTAGTAGATCTGCTGGGCGTTTTTTCAAAATGTCAGATTAAACTCTTATTACAGTCCATAGTTTAAGGAGCTCCCCCATGATGGATTCAGGAACCACTTCAATGACAGCCCTCCTTGCCAATCCCTGCTTAGAAACCTTTGTCTTTTGAAAGTGGGGGCACATGTACCTACAGCTGGGACCCTGTGTAGCGGGGAGGTCTCAGAACTGAAACTTTGAAGACTATCATCTTTTCAGTTTTGCCAGTAAATTCCTCCAAGTTTCTGTCTGAAGAGCCCTGCTGTCCCCTGAGTCCCCTGTCCCCAGGAAGGCAGCCTGCCCCACACTGTCGGCTGGCTTTCCATTGGCCGGTGCGGAGCCCTCCTTCTATTGGTTAGTGCATCTGAATAAACTCCTCCCCTCTCCTCACAGGACACCCACACAGCTGACTCCCAAGGTCACGGCTCTTATCAGGGGTGGAGAGTCACCAAGTCCTAGGGAGGTGGGCTCTTCTGAGAACAGCCCTTAGCCTAACCTTGGGTGTCAGGCTTCTTCCTTCAAAATGAACTGTTGGGGGATCTGGAGATGTGATGAGGACACACACCCCTACATACACCATAACGATGATCACCCAATAACTGCTAGACTCCTCTTCCTCTTTAGAGTTTAGGAGCTAAAACTCCCCAGGCATATGGCCAGGAATGAAGCACCTTCTTCCTAGAAATGTCAACGATTCTATCTCCAACCCAAGGAGGGCCTCCTTCCACTCCTGCTGGCTGACATCTGTGCTATAGTCTTTGGTTAAACTTTGTGCTGCCTGGCCCAAAATTGGGGTAACAGGGGCCTGACAAGCCTCAGCCTTAGATCTGACTGTACTTTGAACCTGTAGTTTGTCTTTACGACAAATGAGGCGGTCACACTGTATGCTCACCCCACTCTGCTCCCACACTGTGAGCTGACCCACACTCACCTTCTTCCTTCCATCCCTAGTGTCTCCTTCTCCACAGAGACAGACACGAGAAGGATGAGATGGCCCTGGATGTGGGTGTGGACATCGGACTCGGGGGAGGGGATGTGGGTTAGGGCATCCCTCCATCTTTCTCTTTTTAAACTGAAGCATGGTTCTGGTCTTGGAGTTCCTGATAATCATTGCCCCCTTGGTGGATCCTAGTTCTGTGGATTAAGTAGGATAAGGTATATGAAAGAACTTTACAGATATATAGTGGTTTTTTTATTGAATTTATTGGGGTGACACTGGTTAAAATTATACAGGTTTCTGGTGTACAATTCTACAATACATCATCTGTATATTGTATTGTGTATTCACCACCCCAACAGATATGTAACGTTTCATTACAATTGGTCTCCTGTGCGAAGTAAAATGTTATCATTTCAAAGTAATTGTGCACAGGGGAGGTGGCTGACTCAGTGAAAACTCTCAATCATGAAATAGTCTTAAATAAATATAATTTAACGGCTTTTACATATATACAGTTACTCACATCAGGATAACAGAAATAGAATTTGTTAGATGGCCTAATCACGGACACTAAGAATGTGCTGTAATTCGTATTTCAGTCGTGTTTTTTTCTCATGATCCCTTCCAATGTTTTAGAGACCCCTGTGGTTCCGGCACATTCACACTGCTTATTTGCTTTTAGTTTAGACTGTTATTTTGTTTCCCAAACCCATTTTTCAATATATAAAATCTAATTACCAAGGAGCACTTATTTGGATCACAATAGATTCCGGAAATCAGAGCTACCACTGTGAGAGTCTTCCGTGAGCCAGACACCACACTGAGCATGTTACCCGGCAAACCTCATACTAATCCTCACAAACAACCTTGTGCTGGCGTAATGGTGTCCCTTTCCATAGGTTTTTACACATTGAGTTTTTGAAGGGTTGTGGATTTTGCCAAGAATAAAAATTACAAAGGCAGGATTTGAACTAGGGTTTGGCTGCCTGCAAAGCCACTTCCCTGAGTGAGATTCAAATTAAAGGTGGTTCTTATTCTTCTCATGCCAATAGCATGAGGATGGTAAGGTCAACAATTAAACAAAATGGACTGGGGAAGCTCTGGCAGCACAGGACAAACCTAAAAGGTTTTCTTTTTTCATTGAAAACTTGTGAGGTAGCCCTGGCTAGTGTGGCTCAGTTCGTTGTGCAACATCCTGTGCACCAAAGGGTTGCTGGTTTGATTCCTGGTCAGGGCACATGCCAGGGTTGCAGGTTCAGTCCCAACTACGGAACATGCAGGAGGCAGCCAATTGATGTTTCTCTCACATCAATGATTCTCTCTCTCTGTCAAATTAATTAAAAAATATTTTAAAAACATGTGAGGTATACTGTACGTCCCTACCAGCCTGAATTCACCCAGTATTCATCGGTATAGCCCTGGGATATTGCAGCCTTGCAGCCAGCAGCTCTTCTGATTGGTTAGATCCAAGTCCAACCAGTGGTAAATCGTTTGAACGTGGCCTTGAAGGAATTTGTGAGAACCGTATTTCTACCTGTTGGGCTTTCCCACTCACTCACTGCCTCTCTCCCTCCCCACCTCAGGGCCCTTGATACCTGGTTGTTGTTTTTTGCTGTGATGCCCATTTTGCTCCCTAAACAGTGAACTTCAGTACAGAATTGAGGCAGAGTGCCCAATGGGAACCTTAGATCCCACCCTGGACGCAGCCAATCACTGGACTTCTCTTGCCTATTTTAGCCTACGCCCACCTCCTTCCAAAGGAAAAATAACAGTTCAGCTCTCTTACTAACAAGCATTGACTTCCCGGGACCTATTAATGCCAGACCCTATTAGCAGCTTAATTGCTCAATGGGGCCGCTGGTAGATCTCAGTTGCTTTTGTGTCGGTAGTTACCGAAAGCCAGGGCCAGCGTTTTCCTCCGTTAGCGCTCAGCCCAGTGAGGAGGGAGGAGGGTTTTGAAGGCTTCACTGGAGTGTTGCTAGGCATCCCCAGCATCCCCATCTTAGCTCCACAAAGTCACTGTACAAGGACGAAGATCCTAAGATGTTTTAGTGTCCGTGTTTTCAAATGAGAAATGGAGCATTTCACTGACCTTGACCGGTAATGATGCTACCTGTGTTTATGTCCATCCTTGTACTGGAGACTGTCCTAGCATCCATTCTGTTAGGAAACACGATCCGGTCCCTCACACCCTATCCTGCTCGATTTTTTTCAGAAATACCAACAACATTATAATTTGCCTCAGTGTTTCCTGGCATTCTTTTATCCCCATGATTGATTTTATAGGTTAGCCGATCAGAACAGGGGGCCCTGTGGAACCTCACCGGCATGGGTCCACGCGTGGCTTGGTAGGACATGTGTTTGCCCCACCAGGCAGTCACTTATTCTCTGGGAGCCAAGAAGGATGGAACAAGTAATACAAATGTGAACTATAAATAATAGAAAGGGCAGAAGTCAGAAAGCGTTTTATTTTTACCAAAGACACATGAAATGAAATGAAAAACAACTCACATGTGTGACCAGCTTTAGGATTATAACAACCTTCCCTGGAAGGTTATCTCATCCTGGTGCCCTAAACCACTTAAATCTTGTGTTCTGTGCTCATGATACAGTCAGAGAGAAGGGAAATCAGTACACCAGTAGGAGGTGTTCTTTTCTTCCTATCAAAAATCACTTTTCTCTTCCCCACCTGGGGGCGTTTACACCCTGTTTCTCTGCTGGAACTCCCTCTCCCCAGATCCTCCCATGACCACCCCTCAGGCAGGCTCCCCTCTCACTGTTACCCCGGCCCCATTTCCTGCTTGATTTTCTCCGTAGCCCTTTCACTGCCTGAAACTATTTATTATCTGTATCGACCCTCCCGTATAAGCTCCAACTGGAGTTGGAATGCCTTGTTCAAGGTTGTGTTCCCAACACCCTGAACAAAGCAGGAGCTCAATAAATATTGATTGAGTACGTGAACGGCTGAATATGACTTAGCACAGGGACTCCTTTTGGGGGCCGGATGACTTTCTACTGCTACTATCTGGGGAATTCAGAGGAGGTGGGAGGAGAAAGTTGGTCTAGAAACCTTTGGGTTGCCCCAAAGGCTAAGTTTATAAGCAAAGTCGAACTCCCAGAATTGTCAAGTGACACCAATAAAAACAAAGTAAATAAAGGAGGGAGGGAGGAAAGACGGAAGGACAGGGGACAGCAAATCTCTGGGGACTAAGTTCAAGGCAATAAAGGTGGCAAAGAGGCGTTTGAGAGAAATCCCAGCGATCAAGAGTGTAATGAGGAAGAGAGACACTTTCTAACCAAGCCCTTGTTTGCTCCTGTGCTATGTCTTGATCATTAAAATAAGCTTTATCATTTCTACACTACATTTCTCCTCTAGTCCTAATAGGTCTGATTATGGTCTCCGAGCCTCAGAGATCACATAGGGAGGTGGGAGAGATGCTTGGTTTGTTTGGCTTTTGCTGTATTCACCCCACAATCCAATTTCTTCAACAGTTTCAGAAACTC